CTTTGTGAGCATACTGCCGGAAGAACTCTGGACGCTCGATTGGCCGTGGCCATTACCAGTCCTGTGCAACCTGACCTGACCTGACCGTGGCCATTTCCCATCATGTGCAAACTGGACAGAACTGAATCGCACCTCCGATCCAATAACCTCCTTTTAGCTGGTAAAGTAAATAGCAGTAAAGACAAAAAACAAAGAACCGAGACTGTTCCCGGGCGCAAGCTTTGAACTCGAGAACTACATCAAGGGAGTTTGTTTAAGTGAATAATCTGTAAGGTTTAACTTGCGGAATTCCTTTGGCAACTGTCGTTCCTTGGCACGTTTCGTATTTAATCCTGCTTACGGCTTCACCCGTTTATCAAAAAACAGACTAGGTTTTCACATATGTTAATTATATTGCCATATCAACCCGATGGTGTCCTATCGATTTGATTGACCAACTTATTGAGTACCAATACGAAGTAGTACCACGTCATTGTTGTTGACACTGAGTGTTTTAAGTTTCACTGATTCCTCAACATTGTGAGTGATGCTAGTCATAAAGAAGGATATACTCAAAACTGTTCATGCATAAACTGTCCTTTTATTTGCGTTCCGATGGTCGGATGACCCAAAAATGATGACAACAACGTTTTCCCGCGCATAGGTATTGGACATTCGCTTCGTTTTGCCCCGCGGCAACTGTTGGTCATCCGAGAAATGAGCCTGACTCCGGTAGGTGTTATGTTATTTCTCACGTAAATCTCTTTAGCTTCTAGGTTTAAATGGGTTTGGAACAACAAGCATTCCCGTTTTGGGTCTCGGGACGCTGGGAACGACGCTGAACTTGGGGCTACCAGCTGTCAGCCTACTAAACCCGCTGAAACCGAATTATGATCAGTTGGGTCCAGTGTATAATGGTCCCGGATCACTTCATGATCGGAAGCCGTTTACTTTAGCGACTTTGGATTTTGAGCAGCGTGGCGCTATCGATCGCGCCAAAAAATACGCAATGGAAGAGAGCATCAAAGCCGCACTTGCTAAACAGACGCGCCAACAACAGCTTCTTCAGACCCCCGCCAATAAGAAGGCACAAACATTAAATCTCCTAAGCCGAATATACGTGGGATCCATAAGTTACGATTTGAAGGAGGAATCAATCAAAGTTGCTTTCAGCCCATTTGGTCCTATCCGTTCAGTCACCATGAGCTGGGATGCTGCCACTCAAAAACACAAAGGATTTGCGTTTATTGAGTTTGAACATCCAGAAGCCGCTCATTTAGCTGTCGAACAGATGAATAATGCAAGCCTCGGTGGCCGCCAACTTAAGGTCGGGAGACCTAGCAATCTCCCACAGGCTGACCCTCTCATTACTGAACTGGTCACGGAGTATAAACTGGAGAAGAAAATATATATCGCTGGTGTGCACGCTGATTTGACCGAAGAAGATCTCAAATTAGTATTCGAAGCGTTTGGTAAAATAACTTCTTGCAAGTGAGTGTGGTGTAAGTAATTATCAACATCTAGGCTGCCTCCTGATCCGGCCCGACCGTCCAAGCACCGTGGTTTCGGATACATCGAATACGAATCAGAGCAATCAGCTAATGATGCGGTCGCAAGTATGAATATGTTCGATCTGGGTGGTCAATTCCTGCGAGTGGGCAAAGCAATCTCTCCGCCCGAAGACCAGTTGAACGCTCCGTCGTCTTCAATTCCTTCAGCGGCTGCGATGGCGGCAGCGTCAGCAACCGCAAAAGTGATGGCGTTGGAGGCAGAAAGTGTGAAAGGAAGGGTTAGTCTAATGCTTCAAAATCTGTTGAACTTCGTTCCGAACCCCTTGTGTGTTGTGTAATTGCGTTATCTTTTTTGAGTTGAATGCTTCCTTCAATAGCACTCAAGTTGAATATAGCTATCCTGCTACAGCAAGATCGTGGTGACTAAGTTCTTTCTTTCTTCTCACTCCCAACCCCTTCTCTTTTATCACCCTGAAGTCGGTCGGATGTTAGCTGTTGGATTTGGTGGCGTCTCAACACGATGTTGAATGGCGAAGACGGCACCACCCTCCAGTCGCGTTTCCGCGGACCCCCCCTATATTCCTCATCCATCTTTTCCCTGCGTGTACATTCTTCGCCCTTGCATGTGCGTCTGCATTTGTCCCCCTCCCCCACAGACACTACGGGATAGGTCAGTTCCAACTGTGTGGAAACCAGCTCATTATTTCATTTGTTACGTCGACTTACTGTTTAGCGGATTTCGGTAGTTTTAGGGTATACTTGTTCCTTAGGCATTTGCTAGACATGGCTTATTCACTAGTGACATAGCTCACGGCGACATTCTGTTTGATCTGTTTGCTGTCCTCACCGAAGCGGATGTCATACGCGGTCCTGAAACCTAAGTCGTAAATAGTAAAATAACAATTAGTTCGCAACATCGCAAATGTTACAACCACCGCATTAGTATCCCTACTGAGGTATCTCTAGGTCTACTTTTTGAAGCACTGTGCCATTCAATCTGATTAGAATTTCGTGCTTTTGTTTCAGTCGCCTGGTACGCTCTCTTCGGCTAGTAGCTTGACTTCAGGCGTAAATGCATCCCTTTTGACCAATTTAGCGACGACATCCGAGCAGGACGGACAAACGAGTGCTGGTAAGTCATAGGTTTTTCTCATGTTACCATACCCAGGGACTCTCTCTTGGGATCGTATAGAAGCTCAAGAGGCCGCTGCAAAAGCTGCAGAAATGGGCATAGAGGAAGATGATGGACTGTTGGAGCATCAGGAAAACTTCCATATTCGAGGTCGTGATGCTCGAAATGTAATTATGCAGAAGCTCATCCGACCTCCACCCCGTGGGTGAGTATTGGTTAGTGTTGGTGCTTTGTCTATCACCTTTTCACTAACTTCACTTGACTACAGGATGTTTTTAGCAATCCAGAATTTTTGATGAAAACTGTTGAAATTCGATAATAGCCAATTCACCCCCAGCTGGGAGTATTTTCATCATGATTCACAGAGTACAGTATAACAGGAGAACATGTTTGTAAAGAAAAATATCCTAAGGTTACTGTGATAGCCGATAGGTTAGCAATAATGAGTATACATTTTACTGAGTTGTGCACGCGATGTGTGTTGTGATATAATAATATGATTATGTACGATAATCTTGTTACGCATCATAATTGTTTGCCCCCCGTCTGACTGTTTCTTTTCCGAACCCGTTCGTTCCGTTATTCTCGTTGCGTTAGCACCATGCTTGTTCGGAAGGTGATGTATGCATGTGTATGTAATATGATATATTGTAATATTTATCGTGTATAATTCATAATATAATATAATTACCTATTGATATGGTGCGGGAATTACAGTCAGCTTTAAAAAATTCTTAGTGTAAATCGTGATAGGCATTAGACGTATTAGACGCGTTAGACATTCCCAATCCTCTTCATAGAGGATATCTATCACGACCAGACTGCAGCTTGACATCATGTGATTGCTTGCGTGCCTCCATGACCCTGCGAGCTATACTGGATGGCTCCTCAATCAAAGATCCAAGCATACCTGAAAGGTCAATGGGAGCCATCCAGTATAGCTCGCAGGGTCGTGGAGGCACGCAAGCAATCACACGATGTCAAGCTGCAGTCTGGCCGTGATAGANTGATAGACATCCTTTATGAAGAGGATTGGGAGTTTAGAGCTGCCCCGTCGCACTCCACTAGAGACGACAAAGGGTGGCGAAAGCTGTCCATAGACTGTAACCCGACCTAAGGTGTGGCGATACAACTCCTTGAGGATCGACACAGAATTTTCAGGTACTTCATTTCTGAACAAACAGTTCCACAGTGCGGTCCTATCAGTGGAGTCAAAGGCCGCGCGAATGTCTAAAAACAGTGATTGTTGGTCTGTGGTGTGCATGACGGTGCTCTAGCAACTGCCCGTGGATGGTCGATTCATCCACGACCGGCGCGAAACCCCGCCTACGGACATGGTCCTCATGCGTCTTGTACAGTTCATGGGACGTGTCAGCTGTATGGGGACATGTGGGGGAGCAAAAAAGGAAAACAGGAAGATATGCACGGTGTAGAACGATTTGCCCTCAATGCGGAAAGTTGTGAGTGTAAAATCTTGGATAAAAGACAGCATATTTCATTTTTTGTGCTTTGTAGGATGTCGCACTACTCGGTTGCTCAGCCCAGAGTAAGCCCTGTTCGGGGTTGCACTCTAGTCTGCGCAACCAAGCATGAACCACAAGGCAGTAGCGTTGTTCCAGATGAGCCGGTGGTCGGTTGTTTCATTCACCTCTTAGGGAACCTTGTCGGGTAGGTGGAACTCGACAAAGGGGCAATGGCTGGTTTCAGTGGCAGACCACACACGTCACGTCACAGCGCTGTCATAAGATACAAGTTATTTTTTGTACGGAGAACCCTTAGCCAATGGTAAACCCACCACATCCTCCAGCACCGTCGCTGATCGTCCGCTACCGTCTAATCAGTGAGGAAAAATCCATCTTATTCATGGCTAACCGCGATTTGCCGACCTTTCCGCGACCTGCGGGCGCGCTCGGTAGCATACAGCTCTTCTCTCGCCGCTTACGCTGTTTCTTGGCCACTTGAATCCAAATGCTTGCGAACAATGAAATTCAC